TGGTTCATAGTCAGGTTGATATTGTGGAGGAATTCATTGAAGGCATGGTGAGATTTGTCCAGTGTTTATTTCCCATGTGTCCAAATGATAAAAATGTCATCAAGAAATCTCAGATACAAGAAGGGTGTAAACAGATGGGAGTTGAGGAAACACTGCTCCAGGTTAGCCATGAAAACTTTGGCATATTGTGGTGCCATGTGTGTGCCCATGGCTGTGCCACTGATCTGAAGGAATAAATCTTCACCAGATCTGAAGTAGTTGTGGATTAAGACAAACTGGCAGAACTTAGTAGTGAGGTCAGCTGTGGTGTTGTCAGAAATCACGTTCCTAACAGCTTGTAGTCCATCACTGAGGGGGGTGGATAGTCCATCACTGAGGGGGAGAGACTCAACATCCATGATGGCCAAAATAGTGTTTCCTGGAAGACTGTTAACAAATTGTACTTTTCTCAAGAAGCCTGTGGTGTCTCATACATAACTGAGGGCTTTGATGGTGTAGGGTCTGAGCATAGCATCCATGTATTCACTCCAGCAATGACTGCTTATGCCTGAGACAATAGAAAATCCTGGATTACATGGCTTGTATATTTTGGGCAGAAAATATCCTCAGGAAACAGGAAACCTCCTCAGGAAACAATCTATATACAAAAGAACCTCCTCAGGAAAATTCCTCCATTAGCATGTTCATAGCCTGGGGAACTCCTACAAGATAAGGACTCAGCCCTACCCCACCTTCTGGAGTAGATATAAATTACCTGCCTACCATTTTTCTTCTCACCTTGACACAGAGAGTACTTCATCTTTCTGTGTTATACCTCTGAGGATGCCAGTCACAGCTACGTCAGATTCTACAATGCCAAGACCACGGCCACACAACCCAGAAAATCTACAGCAACGAATGAACTCCGGCCATTAAAGCCTTCGACAACATATATTGATGTACTTGATATTATCTGCTATGATGACTGAAACAAGTATGTGTGTATGTACACATGACAAACACATACCCCCACACATATTAATCCGATGCTTATTGTTATGGTGAAAAGATGCAACAAGGAAAGAGTAAATTCTGCAAAATCTATTACAGATTTAAAGTTCATCAGGGCAGACTAAAGTAATAAATGAACATGTTTCCTATATTGTTTACTGGGAAGCAGTTTTATGAAGTCAGGAGTCCTTTTTGGCACAATGGTGATTTCTTTGAACACCATGCCATCTGATATTGTTCACATGTAAGTACTGTAAAGCTCCTCTTTTTAACCTAATGGGTAACCAATAGGATGTACAACACCTATGAGGATAACAAAGAAAGCTTGAATAGTATTTTTGCCTTTTGAAATCATGGCACAATCTCTTCTTTTGGACGTAATCCTTGAAAACTTGCTCCAAGCAATCTCCAAATAAATTTCCCCCAGTATATGGTAATAATAACAGCTGAAGTTTCATACGTATGTCTAAGGACCAATTACGTAGCCAGATGGCCCTTCTGGCTTCTGTGAGGTATGCTATGTTTTTAACTGTGAGTCTAAGAGAATCCTCAGCTGCATCATGGATAAAATCTGCTGCAGTTCTAGATAGAATGTGTGTTCTCCACTTGCTTGAAGAAGCACTCAGTGTCTTTTCACCGCTCACTTGTTCTTTTTCAAGCTATGCTAATAAAGCTTTAGAAGCATATGCAGAATATAGGGAGATTCTAAGTTGTGCTGCAACTAAACTGAATGATCTCTTGATTGCAGCCTCAACCTTTCTATCAATTGAATCTTTAGGAACAGGGCCATGAACACAAGAGAGGCATGACTTGGCATTCCCACTGACCACTAAAGTATCTATCTTGGGTAAGATTCCCCATAAAGCAGCTTTGTCCACTGGAAGAGGATATAGTTTATGCAGTATTGCCGGAACTACATGTTTTATATTAGGGTTATTCCATATTCTATAGATTAGCTTTTGGATTGCTGAATGGACTGGAAGGGGTTTATCTGGCTTGTCTTCTTCTAAAGGCTGTTTAGATTTGTGGGACTTTAATCTCAGTTGCTTCTGAATATGCTTTAATAAGTAATTTTGGTTCCCCATTTTAAATGTACATATAGGCTCACTATCCTCTTCTATATCCAGTGAAGAAACATAGGATGTTTCATCATCATCTGGAGGTGACATATCTTCTATGGTCCAATGAAACTTAGGTTTCTTTTTTCTAGAAGCTGCAAGCTCTTTCAAAACATTCACAGCTTCAGATACTGATATCTGGGACTGATGACTAGTTACTTCAGGGATATCAGTAATTGTTCCACATGGTTCCTCAGAAACCACTGCCTGAAAAGGTCCAGCATGTTTGGGGGATAGGAGAGTAGTTTTGGTCACAGAGGCATCCTTCAAAATGGCAGTAATCTCAGGTACTACAACAGAACTCATTTGTGATTTTTTGTCAGAACTGGAGTAATGACTAGTAGTGGAAACAGAAGAAGGTCTTACCTTCTTCATATGGAATCTGTGGTTCTCTTCTGAAACTGAGCTGATGTCTACAGTGTTATTGAACGACTGCTATAGATAGCATGGTCCCTTGCTGAACCTTTTTTGAAATGGGGAGTGCTTTCCTACCTGAGAATCTGACCCTTCATCCAGTTCTGCTGTTCGCTGCTGTGAAGTGTAATATTTAGAATCACCTTCAGCTTGCCAGTCAGTTGATATCTTTTTCCTTTGACAGAGCGAAGGGGAGATGGAATTAACATTTGAGTGTCCTGAAGAGTGCCTGACTCTCCTAAGGGAGGTCTCTGATCTTGTGCTGAAGGATTGATCTCCTGACATTCTGGATAAGCAGGATCTGTCAGACCATACAGACACTGCTTTGGTAAAGGCAGGGTCTGATTCAGGAAATCTGGTGACTTCACTATGTTCTCTCTTTCTTCATTTGTCCATTTTCTTTATTGTCCACCGAGACATGGACCTGAAGTGATGGAAAAAAGTTCAAGATACTCGCATTCTTGAAGAAAACCAAAGTTCCCCTCAAAAATGCACCGCATTGTATCATAGGGCTGCTTGAGGCAGCATGAACTAATAAATTGATTTGACTGTAGCAGTGCTGAGCCACACAAAGGGTATGAACTCATCTTCCATGATTTGAGTATTTGTCCGCATCTGCCTGTCTCTAGAGAGAAAAGAGGCAAGTCCTATTATAGATGAACTGCAAGGTGCATATGTCTAAAAGGAGATTTTAGCTAAATGAATTAGATGAGAGACTAACATTACTTCCTCAGGCTACAGTTTTCAGGTTCATGCAATTATTTCCTTAAACACACAAACCAAATGAGAAACGGAAAATGGTTTTATGAATTAACATGCTAATCTTTTCAAAACATATGCTCAAATCCTGGCTTAGGATTAACATTAGTATACATGTGATCATCACATCTAGAACTAAATTGTCCAACTCACAAAACGTCCAGAACGTTGGCATAATTCTGCATGAAATCAAGTAGTCCACATATAGAAAGGCATCAGAGGTGTAAGTTATTATTTTAACAATCTCTATGTGAACCACTCTGCAGATTGCTGTAAAAACTGTTATGCAACCATAACTTTTATAATTATGTTTAATCACAAACATTGTAAAATAAAATAAAATCATCTTAAAATAATTTCTATTAAAATAACCACAGAAAAAACACAGAAGCTACTTTTTGGCATTCAGAATTATTAAACCGCAGCCAGATTAACACGACTGCAATATTCCATGGATAAAAAACAGATACAAAAATATACTGAATGCACTGTTTTTTAAAAAGGACATTCCACGCACTACAGTAATTTACAAACGAGAACTAAAATAAGTCTTAAAATGGTGCCACAACATATATTGACATATGATACAATATGAAATCAAAACATGAAGCCCGGATCTTCTAAGAAAATAATATTTTTCGTTTAAATCTGATAGATTGGATCAAAACAGTAAAGCCCTCTTGAAAAGATATTATCACTATTATAAATTAATTAGTCTGAAAGCAGGATTTTGTGATGCAAGGCAATTTCTTAATAATGATGAACCGACTTTGAAGACAGACAAGAACTGCAGCTACTGTGAGGCTTCCTTATGTTTTTCATCCTCTGAATTATGCTGAAGTGCTGTGTTCATCCTTCATATGCTGTTTAGTTTTTTTTAAAAAAAATTCTACTCACAAATGAATTCCCTATAAATTGTCAACAACTGATTATTGTACTGTCCAGAAAAAAGCAGGATCTGGGCACCACTGAAATAAATTACATTTTCACTATTAAGCCTGGATTTAAGTCAGTACATTTATATACCCTGCTTTATTCCTGCCTTTAAAGGAATAAGGCAGAAAGAGTAAATTATAAGGGGGGACAAATCACACATGCACACAAAAAATCAAAAAACAAATCACAGTGGATACCTGAGGCCAATATACCAAAATCATGAATGAGGTAAAACCCTAGATCCAAATTCTTTTAAGTATCAAGATGTCAATACTGTAATTTGGATCTGCATTTTACATTTCTGATTTATCATAATGAATGTTTCTTGACTTTGAAAATGACCCACAGAGCCTTCATTGGAACAGGTCTACCAACAAAGACAGGAGGCAAGGTTGTACAACTTCTTATGATTATTTCTCGGCAATGAAGATGCAGCAATGGCTTCCTTTGCTTATTGATGCACTATGATTTGCCTGCACCCATGGCATGTTCAAATTATTCTTAGAGTCAATGAATTACTAGATAAATAGACATGTTGAAATCTATGCCTGTGAACTGAATTACAATGGTAAATGAAACCATACACCAGCATATCTGCCTCTGATGCCAGCATTCCTTACAATATTGGCTGGACATCATGTTTAAAAATGCTGGTTGGCAAAGTTATCTATTTACCCAGCATTAAATGTTTCTGAGTTTTGTACAGCAGCTGTACAATGGACCCATTGTTACCCATTGTAATGTCAAATCCAAGTTGACATGGCTAGTAACAAACTTGCTTACCTGTATTCCCCAAGAGTTCCATCATCTTCTTTCATAGGCTGAATTTCTGGATCACCATGAGCATCTTCCTTTTCTTTCACTTGAAAAACCAAAATTAGTGTTTTATAAAAATACAACTGGGATGAATAATTATTACACACAATTGTGTAATGGTAGATTCTGATGGGATATTATGTTGTACCAATGCAATTCTTTGCCTTGCTGCCAGTACCAACTAGGGACAGCTGAACATCCACTTGTTCAGCTCATGTACTATTTGCCAGTCTGGAACAAGAAACATTTTTTATAGAACTGCTTGTGGCTGTTTGGCATATAGTTTCAACTATTCCTTCCTAAGTATACAGTACAGATCAATTAGCTTTCAGAGCACAGAAGTTCTCAAACAGCATGATAGAGTTCTACTACCCTGCCCCTCCCACCCTGTCCTTCCTGCACTGACGGTCTGTTCTGCAGGCAATTATTTAAACAGCCTGTTAATTCCATCACAATTTGCATAAACCAGCCATTTAAAAAAAATCCTAAAATTTAGTGTATTCAGTGTTTAAGTAGGCCTTAGTATGTTAGTAGATCGGCTTTTGTGCATGTTCAGTTTTGAAAAACCCTGTCACAAACCCATTTAGCAGGTGTTTGATTCATTTACTGATGAACTGAAAAGACCCGGTAATTGGCTCGTGTCTGGTTACCACAATGAAACATATATGTTCAACTACTGAACCTATTCACTGCAAAATGTTGTTCAAACCATCTCCCTGGTACACATTAGAGCTGCGGAGGATGAAGCAAGAGCTGAGACGGTTAGAGCAAGGGTGGTGGCGTACTTGTGATGAAATGGCAAGAACATCTTATAGGACACTTATGAAAGCCTATGAGATGGCAATGAAGGCCACAAAGAAGAAATTCCACATGACTTCCATTGATTCTGCTAGTTCTTGCCCAGCCCAATTATTTAGAACAATTAGATCATTAATCTCCCTACCATAAGGGAAACAAATTGATAAGGAATTGGCTATTGGCTGTGAAGCATTTGCAAGCCAGTATGCGGAGAAAGTCTTGTCGTTCTGCTGTGACCTGTCGGCCACAGTTGAAACAGTAAGTGAACGGTGAAGCCCTTTGGCCATCTTCTGGGCCAGTGTTGGACCGATTCAGCCAACTCTCCCAGGAGAAGGTCAACAGGACCTTGGCAGCTGTGAAGCCCACCACTTGCCTCCTGGATCCATGTCTGTCCTGGCTTGTTAAAGCCTGTGGAGATGAAATCCAGACCCCCATGGGCAAAATCACCAACCTGTCCCTAGCATCATGGACATTCCCAGGGTGTCTGAGAGAGGCAGTTATGAGACTGCTTTTGAAAAAGCCATCTTTGGACTCCACGGTTCTAGCCAACTCCCACCCGGTATCAAACCTTCCATTCCTGGGTAAGGTGGTTAAGAGGGTGGTGGCTGAACAGCTCCAGGGATTCCTGAGTGTCTCCTCCATCCTGGATCCATTCCAGTCTGGCTTTCGCCCTGGCCATGGGACAGAGACAGTGCTGGTTGCCCTCACAGATGACCTCCAGAGGCATTTGGATCAAGGCACTGCTGTTGCTACTTGATCTTATGGCAGCATTTGACATGGTCAATTATGATCTCTTGATCCACTGCCTTGCTGATGCAGGAATATGGGGGACTGCTTTGCAGTGGCTGTCCTCCTTCACCATGGTCAGGGACAGAGAATGGCACTGGGGAAGAGGGTATCTCTGTGTTACCCCTAGGTATGCGGCATCCTGCAAGAGGCAATCCTTTCCCCAATGTTATTCAACATCTAAATACACCCCCTCATCCAGTTAAACCGGGGCTTTGGGCTGGGCTGTCATCAGTATGCTGATGACACCCAGCTATATCTGCTGATGGATGGCCAGCCAGGCTCCACTGCAGAAAATTTGGCCAGCACATTGGAGGCCATGGCTGGCTGGTTGCAACAGAGTCAGCTGAAACTGAATCCAGCAACGATGGAGGTTCTGTACCTGAGTTGTGGGGGGATAAGACTGGGAATCCAACTTCCAGCCCACCCATAGATGCTGACCCCAATGGTGAGGAGTTTAGCAGTGATTCTGGATGCCTCCCTTTCTGTGGAGGCCCAGGTCACCACAGTTGCCAGATCAGCCCTCTACCATCTTCAGCTGGTCTACTATCTTAGCTTTTTCCCCAGGACCTTGCGACAGTGATCCATGCAATGGTCACTTCCAGGTTAGATTACTGCAACTTGCTGTATGTGGGCCTACCCTTGAGTCTGACCCAGAAGCTTCAGCTTGTGCAAAATGCAGCGGTATACCTGCTGATTGGGATGTCTATGTGGACACACATTCAGGCAGCGCTGCACTAATTGCACTGGTTACCAGTTGAGTACTGGATCAGATTCAATGTTATGGTAGTAACCTCAAGGCCCTATGCAGTCAGTCAACATACCTACAGGACCATCTCTCCCCGTATGTGCCTTGAAGAGCATTGTGCTCTTCTAAGCAGCAGCACCTGGTAGTCCCCAGCCCAAAAGACATCTGCCTTGCCTCAACCAAAGCCTTTTCAGCCATGGCTCCTGCCTGTTACAGTTCTGCAGGGCCTGCAAAATGGAACTGTTCCACCAGGCCTTTGGCTGAGGTGGCAGATATCCAAATGCCACTGGCCTTGCCTGCTTAATTTGATCAATCTGCCTCATTGCTTAGTACAATACCTATACCAACTTGATGTTAGTGCCAGCTGAACCTGGTTACTTGAGAGAAATGTGGCCTCCCTGACATTGTTGCAGCATGCACTGTATGCAGGAATTGTTGAGCTGGCATCATGCATTATTTAAGTAAAATATTTAGATGACATGATTGCAGTTACACATCATATTGGGACATGGATCCCAGTACAAAGGTTTTGCAGAAATTTGTGCTGAAAGAATAGAAATTGCACATTTTTAGTGAAAGGACCAGTGATCTTTATGCATTTGTGGGATTGTTGTTTTCTTCTTTAGTCAACTTAATCTGATTTTAAATATTCTTTTTTAAATCCAGAAAATTTGTCACAGCACAAAATAAATTAAATTATTGTGCCAAGCTCCAAAGAACAACAACAAAAATTCATTGCCAGTATTTGGCTCTCATATCACATTGAAAGCTGTAGAAAAAAACTAGAAGCTTCCAAAAACAATTTGACTGTCATATGGCAGAGATGTTTGCTGTTAAATAAACACAGTCAACAGTTCTAATTTTAGTGTTAGTTTCACAGCCAAAGTAGCACCAGGATCTGTATCAGCAAGCAGGAAAGTCATATGAACAAGGGAAACATTGGAGACTATTACCAGCTGTATCCACAAATCTCTCAAAGGGGCAATCAACACACAATTAAATAAAATATGGGATAACGTTTCAGTTGCCCCAGACCCACATTCACATAACCTATTGGGGCAGGGAGCACAATAAAACTAACATTACAATCACTAGTACAAGAAAAATAAGCCCCAAAAGCTATACAACAACTAACAAATAATTAAAGCAATATTGGTCAACAAAAACTGAACCAAAAGTAAATGGAAAAAAACGTTTTTGCCAATGCAATCCTATGCAGGGTTATTCAACTCTGAACCATTTGAAATTAATGGCTTTAGACTCTCTGGATTCCACTGGGAATGTAAAGTAAAGCTGTCAAAGTTTCTGAGAGAAAAAACTCCCATGGTTCTGTTTCCCAACAAGAGAAAACTTCTCTGATCATAACCCATTTTACCTAAGGCATGGTACAATTAGAATTGCACAAACTGGGAGTCTGTAAACATATTTCAAAATAGTTTGTGACAGTCTTGCTATAGCATCTTAAACTAAACTGGTCTTCAAAGGACAAATTACAGCACTTGAACTTTGATGTGACTTGAGCATGGATCACAGAGCACTTGGGATGTCATCCATTACAAATAAAGACTCTATTAGCTTTAATGTATATCTTAACTTTTAATGAAAAATATAGTACCTGGATATTTTCCACCTTTATTTCTTCTTATGAAACAAACAATCAGCAAAATCAAGATGAGAAGGGCAACTGCACACATAAGACCAATGAACCATCCTTGAGTTGCAATGTCAACCTGTCGACTTGCCTTTGCTAGGAAGTGGAAAAAAATGAAGCATTATGCTCAAAGATCTATTATGTTAGGCACCTATTTTTCACAGCAGCACTGTAAGATATTTATTAATTTTCACTTTAACTACAAATATAGATTTATAAATAATGTGGAGCATAACCATGGCCATCCAAGGACATTTATTGCTTTTGGACCAAAGTTCTTAGTGACATTAAAGCTCTTTCATACCTTTTTTGCCAAATTCAAAATGTGAAGATTTGCAGGTATACATTCTCCAATAGTATATTTGACCTGTTTTGCTAACGGATAACTATATTTGAAGGTGGCAATGGTAACATTTTTGTGATGGGTGCGAAGGGTGTTTGGATCCATAGTATGTGTAGAAAAGATGCATAGCTAATGTATAGTGACATTGTGTGCTGTACATTAAGAAGATCAGCAAGGAAGAGAGAATCATGGTTATAAACACAAGACGAGAAATAGAATCAAATCATAAAAAGAACTACTCATGAACAATGTATACTAAATCAAAATCAATTCAAAAAATCATGAAACCCTACTCTTGTGAATAATCTATAAATTAGAAAAGATTCCACACAAATAAATACTTGCAATGATATGCGACAATATATACAATTAGTATGGATTTTTCTTTTCGGTATTTTTTTGTATTTTTTAATATGTACAAGTGTGTGTGTGCACGCACGCGCACCTGGAAGTCATGGAGACCTCTGGTGACTGACCCCTACTGGGGGCTTGGAGAATATTCAGAGAGGTGGATGAATAAAGCTTGCCCCCGCCTGCCACCTCTGGTATTTCAAGGAGGTCTCCCATCTAAGTACTTTGCAGAGTCATCCCTGCTTAGCTTCTGAGATCTGACAAGACTGAGCTTGCTTGGGCTATCCAGGTCAGGGGTAGTCTGGACTTTCTGACACACTTCTTGGTCAATCACCTGAGGTTGTGTCTATGATTACATCATCAGAGTCTGAGTATGTCATATATGCTACTACACCTGTATAACTACAAATATTAAAGTCTATAAAATTTAATGTTGTCAGTAGCCTTACTTTGGCTGTGGTCACACGGCCAGGAAAATGCGGGGGGGAAGCGTGGCTGTTTCCCCCGGGGAAAATCAAAGCGCGGTTGCACGATCAGACCTCCCATGGAGGTCCCCTGGAGGTTCCGTGGATCACACGGCAAAGAAGCAGGGCCTCGGGGCAAAGAAGCGGGGGCCGCGCGCCGAGGGAAGGCGAGGAGGGGGCTGCCAGAGACAGCCGGCCAAGCGGCGCTGGGGAGAAGAGGGGCCAGCTGCCGACTGGGTGGTGTGGCATCGTGTCGGGCACGGCGTTTTCCCCACCAGTGAGGCAGGCAGGGGGTGGGCAGTGGGTCTGGAAGGGCACCGGTCCGGGGAGCTGGCTGGTGGGGTGTGCGAAGAGGGCACAGCAGCATGGCCCAGCCCCCTCCGCCCTGACCGCCCCTCCGCCCAAGCAGACGTCCTACTCTGCCGCCGCCCCCCCTCCTGGGCTTCATCGTCTGCCTTGCCCCCTTTCCCCCATCTGTCGCTCCCCGCCTCAAGCCATGCACTCAGTGCTGTCTTCTGGCTGCTCTCCTCTTCTCTGCAGGACGTATGTTGTGTTTTTTTAATTAAACATCCGTTTGCGCATGCTCCGTTCGGCGCTTGTGCGCAATCGTGGAGACTGAAAAAAAAAAACCTTTTAGCTAGGGGACATGGGCGGGCGCTGGAACTTCCTCCGGAAACACGGTCATACGCCCGCCCTTGCCCCGCGGTTTCTGGAAACTAGTACCTCCACGGTACTAGTTTTTTACAGCGCTGCTTTGGCGTTTAGCCACGGGTTACCGACGGGAGCTCTACACTTGCCAGATGTTGCCCTGTGATCGCGCCAGGAAACTCCGCCTCTCTTCCGTCTCTGAAGCGTGGCTTCTGCTCCGTGTGACCGCAGCCCTAGTATACTTTAAAGTGTTGTATACATATAGTTGCATATCATTGCAAGTATTTATGTGTGTGAAATGTTTTCTAATTTATAGATTATTCACAAAAATACAATTTCACCAATTTTTGAATTGATTTAGCTGATTTAGTATGCATTGTTCATGAGTTCTTTTTCACAGTTTGATGCTATTTCTCATCTTGTACATTAAGAAGATAGCAGCTGATGTTTAAATCAGGTTCCCATCAATAAATGTGTAAGATTAAATTACCCAAAATTCTGCATTAGCTCATCAGCATATCAAATAATCCAAACTGTGGATGTAGGCATCACTTATATCCCTTAGACATCAATTTACATAAAGGAAAATGCAATCAGATTCATAAAGATGCAACATTTGCATTTTTCTTTGACTTCACTAGGTTATTGTATTGTCCTTTTGAAAGTGTATTCTTTCTAAAGATTACAAATACTTGGACATAATAAAAATGTATATATAAAGAGTTCTGAAGGGCTTTTTACAAAACAAAATTCAGCAACGGGTTTAAAGAACAGTGTATCTAGTTTTAAAAAGTCAAATATGTCATCTCTGGATTTTCAATTAATTATTTTTATTTTCCCAATATAGTTAGACAGATTTAGTTTTCCAAACATGCAGTTATGAGGAATTAAAAGATTAGTGTCAAACAGCAGAGAAAGACACACACATTTGACATTAAATGTAGAATGAAGTTTTGTGCCAATTAAATGAAACAATCCATGCATGACACATGCCAAAAATGTGATAAATTACTTACGCAGCTTCAGGTATTCTTTATATTACAATATATCCTCATTATAGGTTTTTAAAGCCTACAATACTGTTTTTAAATAAAATAAAATGTTGTAATTGCGCTACAAAAATTTGCTTCAAGTATATTGCTTAGTTTCTTTGGTGAATGTAGAAGTTGTTACTGCATGTGAAATCTGCCCCTACTGCCCTTATTTTACACAAAATAATGTCATATGAAGATGGTATACACAAATCCTTTTAAAGCCTATGACATACTGTGTTTCCAAGAATGTGCCTGGACTATCTATTTTTCCATTTACTTCATTTTATTTCCCCTTATTCCTTGCCACTAAACTTGCCACTTATTTGGATGTTGAATTATTCCATATATTTTAGCTAGAATCAAGTCCTGTAGCACCTTAGAAACCAACAAGATTTTAAGTGAATGAGCTTTTGGTAGTCAAAGCTCCCTCCATCAGAGGTCTTAACTGGACTTCAGTCTAGCTGTTCTACTGCAGACCAACACAGCTTCCTTATGGTACTATGTTAACACTTTGTGATAAGCAGGAATGTTCTTAACAAAGCTTTACCTCCATTGAGAAGGATCAGAAACAATGCAAAACCTCTCTTTGTATATTGTGCCATGGTGACTACAGGAAGTCTCCTGTATGTATCATATCTGAAGACAGTTCACCTATCAGAGATCCTGTTCCTCAATTCCTTATAAATATTAACATTGGTGAAAAACTGTGTCAGACTCTCTTGGATAGAAACTTGCTGAAATCCATGACAGGTTAAGTTCTAGAAGGTCTTTGAGTATCTGGCTATGCCAGCCATACTGGACAAAGATTCTAGGCACTGGCAAGTACCAGTGAGTAGACTACCATTATGCCAGGACATAGTTCATGTTCAGTAGCATTCAGGTCTCTTTACAAGCTGGGTGGTGGTAGGCTAACTAAACTGTATCAGCTACAGTTTAAATTTCTCTGCAGGAAGTATCTGATCTTCAGAACACAATTCAGGTAAGCCACCTGGTTTTTAATTTTGAGAAATCCACAGGAGAAATGAGACAATTTGTTCAAATCTGTCAGCAACAGTACCCCTGAAATTCATGAAATTATTTTAAAACAGATATGAGAAACTGTAGCAGAATGGAATAGTTCAGGAGGGCACCTCTATAATGGAACAGGATTGCAGTCCACTGCAATGTTTATGGTAGGTATAATTTGCTTTTACTACATTGTCTTTACCTTGTAATCCACTTTTTATTGTTTACTGTATACCTTGCCTTAGATACTCTGTTGTTAGCATTCTTTATGTAGGGTTCAGGGGCCTCCATGTCTCTACCCTCAGCAGCTCTCCTATCCATCACACCTCTTCTGTTCTTCTTGGTCTTGCCAAGCCACAGAATTGAAGAGGGTTTGCAGCACTAGGTTCTTCCAGTGGATCTATTTTGCACAACCTGGAGAAAGATCCCAACCACCTCCTCACTGGCCTGCTTCTAAGCCCCTTATGAAGCTAGTGCTACATATGCTCAGTCAATTCCCCTAAAGTCTCACTACAACTAGCAGTCTTGTGAGACCTCAGAGGAATTTTGGCCTGCACCTGCAGCAGCTTTCCCTTTCCCACTGACCTGGCCAAGCTCAACGGCCAGCAGGTACTGGCAGTGACGGAAGAAGGCCCATACTGTATTACTACTGTTGCAGCATTCCTTTCTGCTGTAGTCCTGGCTGGCTTGGCAGTTGGTGGGTGTGACTGAAGTGGGACCTCAAAGGGCCCATACGACATTGCTACTGTTGCAGCAGTCTTGCCGTGCTCCACTGAACATCAACTGGTTATCCCTGGCCCAAACGAGCATCCTGTGACTCCTGGTTAAGTCTGAGGGCAGCTCAGGTAATGGGTGTGGGCCTGCTCCTGGACACTCTAATTCTGTAATCCAATGCAGTAGCACTGTTCATTAGATGTCTTATGCCTAAAATATGACATTGTTTTCAGTCATACTAATTCAGTCATACTAGCCCTACTGCATAGTTCTTGAGGAGGTCTTAGTGATTCTAGTGACCTGGATGAAAGTCCAGGATGGAGCCCAAGAAACATGGCTGCCACTCTCCCAGGGGTCCACTCCTACAAATCAGGCTCCTAGGCTCAAAGCGGTGGCTTGCACACCATGCAAGATATGTGGGTGTGCCTGGCAGCACTAGGTGCTAGGTGTGCCTACTTGTGCCCAAGCCCAAGAGAAAGCAGAGGTGCGTGTGTCTGATAGCCACCAAGCCAGCTGCTGTCACCTGCCTGTCCAAGC